GAAGTCAGGTAAAATTAAGGTAAAGATGCAGAGTATCCATGTATCTTTAATCGATTCACTGCTTATTATGCAATATCTATATGTGTGAAATTTTAATAATTGTATGTGTGCAATTTCAAAACAGCCTTATATTTGTATTATTATGGACCATTGTTTAATATGTGGGCCTAAGTTGGGATGGGAAGGTATTAATATGTTATATAGAAGAATTAAAGGCATGGAATTCATGGAGGAGTATGGGGGAAGGTGAAGGAGATAAATTACAAAAGAGGTCCATGGTAGTGAAAATACTGGAGCCCAATGGGCACTTCCCAGATGCCGCTTGTACATCAACCCCTACCAACAACACCTCGCTGAACGTTGGCAGGAGAAATGTCAATCAACTGATAACAGTGGTTGCAGCACCAGCAGTCACAGTAATAGTATAGTAGCCACATTATGAGTGGGTGCTCAATAAATTCTTTTTATTATCTAGTAGACACAAATTTGCTCATTCGAAATCTGCACACAGGGGCCTTATACATTTCAGCATTGAATTACCCCTGAGAAAGGAAGATTTAGAGGAATGGCTTGTTAATGGCAGACAGATATCATCAGCCAGTGAAGACAAATATGCAAAGGCAGGGCTTTGCTTTTTATCCAACCCCAACCCTTCTCCTCCCAACACAATCTTCTCTGACCGGCATCATGTAATCAACTGCTGCAAGTAAACTGGTACACATCCCTCAAACTCCTGTACTACAGGATGATGTCTTGCTCATGCCTCTATACACAATTAGGTAAAGAGTCAGTAAAGGAGGGGCAAACGGAAACCTGGGGTCTGTGTTTATTTATCCCATCTTGGCTGTCTGAGAGCAGTAACTGCTGCACATGAGAACTTGTGAGCTGATTATAAAAGATGGCTGTGTGGGAAGTGAGAATAGGATGATGCGAATGACTGGCCACCAACGAGGAGGAAGAGAGAGGGAAATGATATTTTAGAGTTTTCCACTAATATTCTGGGAAAAGGCTGCAGTAAACTGTTTCATGCCTACAAATTCCTCCTCTATTTGCTTCTTCACCATCGAACTTTACTGTGCCTTCCACCTCTAAGTAGAGTCTACAGTATTTCTCCACCCTCATCAATCGGGGCGGGTCTTGTGATTTGCTTGGGCCCAAAGATACAGCAGTGGGGATGGGGATGTTGGATAAGTCTGGGAGGTGTCTTGAGACGTGGGCCTCTGACCTCTTGGAAGGCTGCTCTATGACCCTGTCAGGGAAAATGGCCTGTGAGAAAGACCTCTTGAGAATGAGAGAGACCAAGCTACTTAAGCTCTCTCAGCTCTAGTCAACTGGTCAACTGTATGCAACCCATGAGAGAAGCAAAGATTGACTACCAGGAAAACTACAGGTCAACCCACAGAATTCTGAGGAGAATCAATTCTTGTTTTGAAGTTTAGGGTTGTTTGTTATGCAACAACAGATAATGGAAACAGGGAAACAAACAGTAGCTGGCCTTTCTTTTTTCTTTTTTTTTTTTAACATTTTCAGAAAATCTCAGGTCAGAATTGGAAGTGACCTAAAGAGATCATTTTATGTCTTCTTGTCAGTGGTTTATGATATTAACTGGAACATCACCAAACAGTATTCCTCCTTCTCAACTCTGAAGTTCATTTGACTCTAAGTGGAAAAATCTTTACAGGTTTTATATGAATAGAAATATCACAAAGCTAAATTTAAATATTCTTCTAATGAAACTTAACACTGAATTATCAATTTAACAGTTGAGGGTTAAATAACCTTCAGAATTTTTTCCTGGGAAACCAATAGCAGGTGCAAAAATAGGCACAGGGTTTTCTTTTTTTCCCTTGAAAGTTCTCAGTAAAGCAAAAGAGAACAACTCTGTGATCAAATTATCCCCAAACCTTTAATTAAAGCCAGATGCTAAGGGAGAGTTCAAGTTCCTTAATTTTATTTACTAATCCACAAAGAGAAACATCAGAAAAATATTCCTCAGTTCTTATTCACATACTTCATTACAAGGCTTATTTATTTTTATTTATGTGTTTACATATGTTTATAACACCTACACCATGTTAAGCAAATATATTTCTACCTAAATGCAGCAATAAGCTTGTTTCCACAGAGAATACTGAATATATGGTATTTCTCCCTATTTACCTACTTATCAAAATTCTGGCAAGCATTTCATGAGGCTGTATTAGTTTGAAACACCCCAACATTTCTATTATAAAGTTTTCCCAAGGTGTCTCTAGTGAAGCTGGAAAGAAATATATATGTATATAGGTTCAAATATAACAGCAAACCCTGACTCTAATGCCTACATTTGCAGCAAGAGTTATATTGAGTTGCCATAGCAGCCACCCACACTCACACACATACAAAGGGGTGGTAGAGAAGAGAGAAAAGCAGTTAGCAGCGAACAGAATCTATTGTTAAAAATACAGAGGTTCCCTTGAATGTAATTATAGGCAGGAATCCTACTTTTCAACTGAACCACTGTTTAATGATAGAAGATTTCCGAGTGTTGGAGTTTTAATAAATGTTTCTTCTCTAAACATATCTACCATCTGAACCTTTACAGGTGCTGAGATTATGCAGAAGCGGGAAGGAATTCAGCCGACCATGTACAGGTTACAGCTAATACGATTTAACAATTCCCTCTCTGGAACCTTTGGGATCATTTAGCTGGGGAAATTGATGGTTCTATGGATTTGGGCAAGTTACTTCACTTTGTGCTTATCTGTAAAATGGGCATAATAAAAGCACATACTTCAAAGAGCTGTTATGAGAACTCAGTAAATTAGTACAAGTGGTAAATTATCACATAAATAATAATAAAGAATACATTTTCATAACACATAAATAAGAATTAGTAGTATATTAAATAAATTAGTAAAAGTGCCAAAATTAGTACCTGACACATATCAAGTGCTCAATAAATGTTTGCTATAATAATAATAAAATTATTGTCATGAACATCTCCAAATCTATATTACAGACTAGAATAATATGGCTTATAATTAAGATGTTCCCTAAATAAACCCCTGCCAGTAAGATGCAAAACAAATAGGTAGGAAGGTGCTAAAACAAATGCCAGCAGACCAGGGGCAAGACAAGACAGTAAGATTTTCTCATTACATAAAAGGATAACATCTTCTCCCACAGCAATGCCTTTGAAAAACACCATTTTGGCAGAATAAAAAGACCAAGTATTTTACTACACTAGCACATTCACCACTATTGCCAAACCTTGGTTACACAGCAAACTCTATCATGTATGAGAGTTAAGATATTCATGTAACAGTTTTTGGGGTCAGAGACTATTCTGGGATTTGTCTCAACTCATTGGCTTGATGACATATGTATATGTAGATAGATTTGCAATTCATACCCGGGTACAAACATAAACATTAGATTTAGATGTGATGACAGTGAATGAGAAGTATTTTATGACTTCTGATTCACTCAAGTTTTAAATCTTCATTTTAAGGCTGAATGCTTCTTCGTATTCTAGAAGAGGCGGAACATGTAGTCAAGCAATTTAGTGAACAGGAAAGAGGGAGCCTGGGTTAGCAGATTTCATATCAGGTCTGAGAATGTGAAACAGAAAACAAAACTGATGGTCTAAGGAAATCAGGGGACATTAGAGGGGGAGAGCTGGGAGCAGAGTGAGAGGCAAGAAGCGAGTGGAACTGATAAATTGCCCAGAAGTCAGAAAACAGTGGAAGAGAAAAGGATAGAATGGGATTTGATCCTTGACTTTTGAAAAGTTTTCTTGATGGGATTTTTACAAAGTCCAGTCAGTGAGGGATAGAATTAGCTTGGTTTAAAAACGTTTAAAATGTTAAAATGCATACACTCCTGACCTCCAAAATTATCCTGCCACTATTTATATACAAAGCTATATTTCCCCTCCTAAATTGTCCTTTTTTTAAAGTCATCTTTATTTCCAATCTCAAGTAGAGGTTTCACAGGGTATTTACTGTTTATCCTCTCTGCTTTTAGAGATCACCTGACATAAATGCATTAGGAACATTTCCATAATTGAATAGCTCTTTGAGGGTAAAAATAATTCCGAGCTTTTTTCAAGTCATTAGAAGTGCTCAAATTTGGTTTCAGAGCGGTCCTGAGATCTCTGGTCAATGAGTTGAAATCAGAAGGAAGTGGCTATTGGCACCACTGGAAAGAAGAACTCCAAAGGCTTTTAAAGTCTCTGAACTTCTTACTGTAGCTATGGGGAAGCCTACAGAGCACGCTTTTGGAGTCCAATCCCACAGCCACAAGGCAGCTCCTGGTGACAGAGGAAAAGGCTGAAAACGTGAATGCTGGGGTCAGGAGCTGCTTGCCAAGGCCGCCCTTCTCTCTGCTTCTGAAGACCAGTAATGCACTCATCCGTGAGCACTCATTTCTGCCTACAGGTCCTAAGATAGCTGCACTTTTCGCCTGACTTTTATGAGTAAAACGATGGCAAATATTCAAGAATCAAAGAAAAAAATATTACTTATATAAAGACATTTTGGTTAGCTCTACAAGAAAAATATTAAAACCCTAGTTGAGATACTATGATGATATAGTTACCAATAACAAGAGAACTTTCTAGAAAATGTGTCCCTTTCCTCATCCCACCAGAGAATATTAGAGCTTGAATAAACAGCTAAGAGGCCTGGGTAGTTCTATTAATTGTGCTATTACAAGTTTGTGGGGACTGCCACAGGCCAAATTTGTTTCCATTAAGCCCTATTTAATATAAAGACAAGCATACTCTCAAATAGAAACGCTAATGGCTATATATTTTAATACAAGTAACTACCCACACATAGTCTCATGAGAGTCAACTGGCTTAATTTATTCCGAGTACAAACAGCTATTATTAAAAGTAAATTAAATGGCCTACAGAAAGCTGTTAACGTGACTTCCATTATGGCTGAAAGAAATAATTTCTATATTGGGAGAGTAACAGAAAGACAGACGAAGACTGGTTTGTAATCCTTACTTACTGTGAGATACATAGCTGCATAGACACTGAGAGCCGCTTCTTTGGATGGGAACGTTTTTCTTGCTCTCATGATGAGATCCGGGTTGCCTGTGCAGGCCTCTTCCCCACTGATGAACTGTGTATACTGCTGACATCCGAGCGCCGTATAGTTGGGCTTACACAGCGCGAGGAAATGTGGAGCCAGGTTCCCTGTAACTACTTGTCCAGCGTTTACAAAGATATCTGTAGCAAACAGCCCAAATGTATAAATTCCTGAGGAAGAAAACACACCATTTCAACTCTATGGGTTTTTTTTTGTATTTCAGCTTATAATAAGCCAGCATGGAAATATTTTAGAAACTTTAAAAACAGTTCATACATACATATATACATATGGTTCCTTCCATTTCACTCCTTTCTAGTCACTCCTCTTGCTTTCTGGAGTGCTGGGAGTGTTAAATTATTTAACATATTGAGCTGTCTACCACTGACTACATTTTTATGCATGGCAGGTTTATGAGACTCAAGATCAAAGAAGGGGATACATTCTAAGACTGTTGGAGTAATGTGATTTTTTAAATGGAGACATGTTTCCCTAGTGAAGGCTCAGTCTATCACCTTCTGCTAATGTTAGCAATCTTTATTTTTCCCTATTTTGAAAATATTTTTTTATAACTTATCTTACTAACATAAAGCTAAGCAGTTGTCTCCCTTTGATTATGCCTCTTAAACCCATTCAGACTGATATTAACTGCTGGAGGTGCCAATTAGCAACAAAACTCCAATGCCGTCAGTCTTCCTTTAAATATCATGAAAAATCTTAAGTAAAGCAGAATGTTCTCAGATTAATCACTACTAGATTGCTTTCAGAAACACATTTTTTAAAAGTCACATAACAGCTAGTAACTTAGTCTCACCTTATTTAAATGATCAAATTTGGGGCAATTTTGTAAACAATAAAGTAATCAAAATTATAATTTTTCAATTACCTTCACACTATTAAAACTTACTTGCTTTGGTTACCTAAAGGTATAAAATTAAGTACGCAGATCTTTTTCCTCCCTTTTGTAAGGAACTTGCCAGTTTACTCAAATAGCAAAACTTTTTCTAAATTCAAAGTCATTGGTCATTATTGCCAAAACGTATCTTTCTACCTAGGTAGGGTAGGCAAAATAAATCTTTGGCATCCTTTTTAATTAAACTTAGATATACAATCTTCAAGGTTGTGGTACTAATGTAAAGACATCCATTCTTTTATAATTTGGGGACATAAAATCCATCAGGACATTTTAAAACTATACCAAAAAACACTTCCCAAACAGTTGGTTGATTAAAACGTCATATAATTCTATTATAATAATTAGATGCTTTTCTTCTTAGTCATATATTTCTGGATTGTTTGTTTCCCAAGCCTTTACATAATTATTGGCTATTGTGCAAGAAATCACCAGGAAAGTTGTGCTCGATCAAATAATTTTCCAGTATTAGATGCATGGCTATCCTATTCATTTTTAAAATATTATTTAAAATCATAAAAGGCTCATGCACGCTGCACAAAGCAAAACTCTGTGAATATAAAATGGCAATGAAATAAGGACCTTAGTTCTCTCTGTATCTAAAACACTTTTAAAGGAAATAATAAAAGCCCTTTCTTTACCTCTTACCAGCATTCCTTGAGTCATACAAGTAAATGTTATCAGAAGCAGGAATTTGGGAGAGGCAAAGAAATGAAAGAGAATAGAGCAATAAAATGTTGACGTACACAACCTCTCCTTCAAATATTATGACCTATCCCGGGAACCTAAACAACGTCTTCTTTTCTAGTCCTTGAAATCTAGGCTAAGATGTACTCATTTTATTTAACCAAACCATCTTCTTTATCTGGTGTGATAAGTTTTTCTGTTTAAAATAGAGAGAAATAGTGGATGAGTATATGAAAATGTCTGACACTTATAAAGTTCCCAAATATGCTTTAGAATGAAAATGCCAGTGTGTCAGGCCCAAGGCCAACACTTAGTTGATTTAGCTGACTACAAAGATACTTATTAAAATGAGATCCCATGAGTGTATCCACTGATAGGCTAGATGTCCAGAGAAAAAGTCACTGTAAAAGTGATGTCCTATTACGACGTAATGCTTTGCTTACAAGCTTCCCATTTTATTATAACAAACCAGAAAAGCCAAATAATGATAAACAAGGGAGCAAGAAACAAATGAAGCACTCATCAATATTTTATAAAATCATATAAGAAGTAAAAAACATGCACAGACTTAAAATACACTTACTTTGTGCCATAAATTCTTTAGAAATATGTGTGCAACTGCAGACAAAAATATTTTACTTAAGTAGGCATAATATAATCTACTTAACAGTATTTAGGGAAGTGTGAATTTCATCATTTTTAGTTTTGAGTACCTTATTGCTTATTTTGTTATTAAATGACTCTCAATGCAAAGACAAATGTGTTGAGAACACAATATGGATGCAAGTAGAATAAAAAACTTTTTAAAGTTTCACATAAAAGTTATCCCTTCAATAGTATATATGATGGCTTTCAAGATGTATAACTTGATGACAATAGAAGAAACAGTCTTAGATATGAAGACCTTTCATCCTCAAAGAGATTTAAAGGCACAATGACATTTGATGAGTCTTTATGTGAGTTTATGTATAGATTAGGTGATCTATGCATAATACTTAAAAGTCTTCATCTTGATCCTATCAATATGAGAAATATTTTGATTATAATATCCTTAATTTTAATTTTAATGCTGATCAGAATTTATATTAAATTTTACTTAGTACACACAGACATACTTTATTTGATAAATCCAAAAGATAATAATTTATATTAAATTTATTGGTCAAGTTTCTATTGAATTAAGATGATTTCCAATAATCCATCAATGTTCATATTCACCAGTGCTAGAACTTGAGATTGAAAGTTAAAGTATTAGTAAATCTTGTCCTCTAACAGAATTAATACAATTTGTTGACAAAAAAAAACCAACCCAGCTTAGGAATGGTGCATGGCGTGAGACATAGTGTAATTAACAAATACAACATTTCTTTTATTTACCAAGCTACTTTTCTTGTCCTTCATGATGTTCAACAATCTAGCTAGATTATAATTTCTCCCCAAGCATTGTTTCTGAAATTTCATACACACAGTAAACCATTTAATTATGTTATATTTTAGTTTCTTAAAAAATATTTAACATCCAAATGTGATGTTCTTTTCCCCTTAATACAGAAATGACAACTGGAGTCTTATAATTTGAGAGAGAAAGTAGAATGCAATGTCTATTTTTAAAACTACGTTAAAATGTTTCAAAGAAAATATAACCTAATACTTGCATACAGTTAAAATATTGGTCATTTTAAAGGTTAGTTTGTACATAAACATTGTTTTGGCAACAATAAAAGCAATTCAATGGACACATACCAAGAAATCGTACAGTTCTCCGCACCAGTGGGTTTATATAGCAACAGTCTCCAGTTAAAATAGTTTTCTCCTGGTTTTCAAAATCCCTTGTGGCTAGTTGTAGGCAAAACACAGCAGTTTCTCCAACTATTATCTTGCAAGGAAATAAAAGGTTAAAGAACATTAGAATTTAACCAGTATAAATGAAGTACACTTTTATTTAAAAAAAAATACAAAAGGAGCTTCTCTGAGTAGTCACAACTCAGTATAAAACTAAACCGTATTTGCTTAGCCAAAACCTTTTATTATAACCTTATCCCTATGTATATAACCCATATTTCTCTCAATTCAAGGGAGTATTAAGCTGATAAATTATGAATACAAATGTTTTCTAAAAGACTTCAATAAAAATGAAACATACGAAGGATCTTTTCTTTAAGGAAGCACTCGTTTATTTTTTGGTGTGTAACTGAATTCCATATTTTATTTTTCAGTAATTGCATCTTGTTTACATTTGACTCTGCCGTAGAAATCAGAACAATTCCCTAGAGTAGCCAGAATCTGAATTCAAGTTCAGACTTATTCTGACCACAGACTCAGCCTAGAATTTGGAAGCTTTTCCTCCAACTTTTCCAGGTTAAGCCAGGTCAGACCCTGCTCCCCCTCATGCTCTTCAACACCCAGGCTATACCCTGGAGCTCCACCACATCACCAGCATGTTTACAGTTTTAAGGGGAAGGTGTTGGTGCGCAAAGCACCTCCTAAGGACCGTCACAACTCCTGGGGTCTCCAGGTATAAGGGAACCAAGTTCAGAAAAAGACTTTCCTGATCCTTTAGACACACATGCCAGCCTTTCAACAAAGACCAGAAGAGCGTCTCATCACACTTTCTAGCTCTGCCGTTATTTTGTTGAGATTCTGTTTTCACTGACAGTTCCTCAGGTTTCCTCTGTGTATCTTAGTTCTTATGTAGAATTGAAAACCTGATGGTTTGGTCATTTGTCCCCCATTATGAAGAAGGGATTCGTCATCTGGAGTCCCTGGCTACCATTTGCATTAGATTCCCAAAGCCACCCTCAGGTGAAGAGCATAATTGGTTTGCTTTCTCTCCTGAGAGGGGGAGAGGGGGAAGCCTGACAGGGCAAGGGCACAGGAGCCAGAGACGGGGCTGCTAAAAGCTTTGTCACTTCGTAGTTTTCTTCGAATAAACTGTTTCCAGAGAGAGCTGAGGTGATGAAGAGTGTTAACTGAGATCCACTGAGAAGGAATGTGGCCCCTCCTCCTGCCGACCACAGCTCCAACTGTCTACAGGGAGTGAGGACATGGGGAAGGTGTACACCTGTCCAGGTGGGGAGACTCAACTGACTTCTTACAGGGTAGCTCTTCATAGAAGGCACTCCATCCCCACCTTAGCAAAAGCTCTCCATTCATTAGGACATAAAAGAAAAAGGGGAGGGGGACTCTATTGGTAGAGACAGTGTAGGCTGGCACGGTAAGTACATAGTTGTCCATTCTCACTTCATTTCTTGCATCTGCCTTCCAGCTTCCTTCTGGGCTCACAAATCTCATCCCGCCCCTACTCTTCCTCTGCCAAGGTTCAACCTGGTATGGAATGTGATAAGATGCCCACCAAGGGCTCCGGAGCTGATATTAAAAGGCCCTCTCACTGCTTCACCTACCCAGCCAGGGTTGTGTCTGAGCAACTGTGCTGTCCCTTGAGTCACAGACCCCTCCCAACTACAACCTGCTAGTCTTTGTCCTTGGAGGCAAGAGTTGTGCTCCTGACCCTCACCCAGCCTACACTCTACAGACCTCCCCAAAGTGGAGTCCTGTGTTCCCCGTTATACCCCATGTCCTCAGTGAGTCATTCCATTATGCTTTGTTGAACTCAGTGTTGTCATTATGAAGCTCCTTGAGCCCTATCTTGCTTATTAAGCTGGACCTAGATAGCCCCCTCTTCCTAAGGGACCCATCCATGTCTCCATCCTGTCTTTGAGGACAGATGGGATGTGGTTCTATGTCTTATCCATTACTCTGTTCGGCAGTGAGTAAAAAGCCCCATCTTGCTGATGAAATCACAACCTACAGAAATGCATGTGTAACCATAAATCCTCAAGTATAAGTGTATAAATGTCTATTATGAGCATATAATATTGTTCTCATACCTCAACTCCCAGAGGCTGACCCACTATTATCTATATTTCTTAATGACACAATTATGAAGCAAAGTTTTCCAGGAAGATAAAATCATTTTAAACTTTCATCAAATGTCAAACTCCGAATAGCTTTAGGTTTTCATTCATAAAAATCTAATTAGAAATTCCTCTCCCCTTCAACTGGTGGTGACTCAAAGATATCCATGCATCATTGGTTTGATATTGGTACAAGAAAACCATTTCAGATGTAACGGAGCAGTAGAGGTCATGCAATCAGCATGATGGTACTTAGCATGTGTCTCATATAATCGGATATGTGAAATAGTATCTGAAAAGCAATTTTATAGTCATGTATAGTCATGGGACTGTGTAGTCATGGGACATACTAAAAATTTTAAATGTTGGAGGGTATTGGATTTATATTTAGGTTTGTATCAAACACATTTGCTATTTTGGTGATTATAAAAACACATATAGAGAGAGAGCTCAGGTCCCATCATCAATTTCAAGCTAGTCAAGGAAAGTTCTAAGCTATACAAAGAGGTAAAAAGCTACACTGGGTATTATCTCATTAACTTTGTGTCATGGTACAGAGAAACTAAGGTTTCTTCTGTGCATATATTAATTTCAGCACCCTTGCTAAGTAACACAATTGTTAACTTAGTTTCTGAGTGGAATGGAGGTTAGAAGAGAGGAAAATTAACTGAACTGAAGAAGTCATATAGTTAGTGATACAATTGTTGCACAATCCCTCCCAGTAGTTAAGAAACTATGGTTGTGTTTTGCTGTAACTGTATATATTTCATAATCTAACCACAAAAACTTGGTTCATCATTTTCATATTATAAAGTTGCCATTGGAAGTGGTGACCTAGCCTGGACCAACATTCCCCACACACCTGCCTGCAGGTGACCTTACACCAAAGGAATGATAGGATGAAGGGTGTGCGTCAGTTTCAGACCAGGGGGAAAACTCAGGGGTGTCTTCTCCATGTTCTTGTCCCCCGTCTGCTGCCTGGAAACAGAGCGATCTCTGGGCCTGAAGGTGGGAGGAGCCAAAGTCTGTCAGTTGGCAGCCCTGCACTGAAGTGTTACAGGAGTGAAAGATAAACTGTAATGTGAGAAGCCAGTGGAATGGGGGGGTTTATTTGTTACAGCAGCTAGAACTTGCTAATTTCCTTGCTTTTAATAAAGAGGGAGCAAGTCTCAAGCTCAGAGTCTTCAGCAGAAAACATAACCAGCTAGAATCATAAAACATTGGTTTTTCGCTGTATTTATTTTATGATTACTTTCTATTTACCAAGTGATACCATTTTTGGTAATGATATGTTTTCTTTTGTAATAATTTGTTAGTAAAGTGGATTAATTAAAAAATAAATAAATAAATGACAGTCAAAGTGGTATTCAGCCATGATAGAAAGCATGAAGGTGGGACCCTGAGAGGCAAATTTGGGAAACATATAATGTATAATAAACACTAACTTAAAGCTTCTGCATCGCAAAAGACACAATCAACAAAACGAAAAGGCAGCATATGGAATGGGAGAAAATGTATGCAAATCATGTATCTGATAAGGGGTTAATATCCAAAACATATAAAGAACTTTTATAACTCAACAGCAAAAAAAGCAAACAACCCGATTAAAAAATGGGCAAAGGCACTGAATAGACAGTTTTCCAAAGAAGACATACAGATCATCAACCGGCACATGAAAAGTGCTCAATGTCACTAATCATCAGGGAAATGCAAATCAAAACCACAAATGAGCTATCACCTGACACCTGTTAGAACAGCTATTATCAAAAATACAGGAGATAAGTGTCAATGAGTGTGTGGAAGAAAGGGAACGCTTGTGCACTCTTGGTAAGAATGTGAATTGGTGCAGCCACATTAAAATTTTAATTTAAAAATTAAAACTACGATGTGATTCAGCAATCTCACTTTGGGGTATTTATCAAAAGAAATTGAAATCAGGATATCAAAGAGATAGCTGCAGCATTATTCACAATAGCTAAGATGCAGAAACAACTTTGGTGTCTGTCTATGGGTGAATGGATAAAGACAATGTGGTACAATGCAATACTTACTATCTAGTCATAAGAAAGAAGAATGTATTTATTTGAACAAATAATTATTAAGTAATTGTACTGTACAAAGAGCTATTCTAGGCATTGTACTGAAGGGTGGAATTATGGAAAGAGAGGTTAAATGAAATGTAAAATATAAAGAAACCCAACGCTCCCATTTGCCAGATGTTTTAAGTGAAACTCAGAGAGATGAGGTGTCCTGACAAGCTACTCAATGCTCAGACCGCTGGCAGGTCACACTCGTCCTAAGGCTTGGAGTGTGCTGCACTTCTCACTAGGGCTACAATGCAAGAGACGATCAGAGGAATGTACAACTTCCCTGCCAATACAGACACATATGCAAATAATACTAGCGAGTGAATGAGGAAGGGGTGAGATAAGGAGTAAATGCTGACTGAGGACTGAGTATACAAGTGACCAAAAGTGGTGTTCCTTTCTGCAACACTCTTGCAAAAACAAACAGATCCAGTCTTCTTCAGCCCATCAAAGCAGTGTGGTCGGTATTCACCCTCCAGGGCCTGAGGACCAGAAAGCATGAATGGGACAGTAGGGCCTGGAATGTGTTCCAGGCACTGGAAAGGCATACTTGTCTGTCCAAGGCAGCACAGTGGGTGTGAACTCTAGAACCTGAGGGCATGTGGTTGAGGCTTGGCTTTTCCTATTAGCTGAATAACCTTAGGTAAGTCATATAACTTCTCTTTGCCTCAGTGTCCTCATCTACAAAATAAAAATAGAAATGATGCCATCACAGGCTGTTGGAAGGATTAAGTGAGTTAACTGTTAGAAGAGGAGCAGTACAGAGTGAACACTGTGCAAATTTTAGCGATTAGATGACCTTGAAGGTTCTGTCCAACTCAGAACGGTGATGGGTTAGAGCTTGTGGTCAAGGAATCTGGGGTGCCTGCGATAGG